GTAAGTTACTGGACATAGCCCAGATTTATGTGTTACACAGCTTTTACTTTCCCTTTTCATTTTCAAAAACCTCTGGACTGCAGAGTTATCAGCTATCATAACTTAAAATACTTATGTTTCAAACTGTGGTTTACAAAAGGAGAGAAGTCAAATTGCAACTTGATTTTTTGGAGGGAAATTTCTATCCCTGTCTGTTCAAGGACTGGGGTGCAATTACAGCTTCTTGGAGCTCAGAGTTTCATTTACCACCCCTGATTGTCAGGCAGGCAGATGTGTGCCATTCCCCACTTCTCAGACCTGTAATTTGGCTGCTGCTCTGCCATGACACTTGCCTCTGTTTTAATTACAGTGATCACTCAATCTGGAAAGCTATTTCAAGGGGGTGGAGGGCTGGGTGTTCTGAGCCCTCTCCTGCTTCCAGGCTGTCCCTGGAGCTGGGGATGCTCCCCAGAAGATTTGCCCTGCTAGCTGAGCTGTGGTGGCCATGCACTGGGTAGCAATGTAGGTTTAAAACCAGGCTGAGATGACTGCAAAACTGCCAGAGTTCTGGGATGCTTGATAGAGCCAGGAGCCTTTAACCAGCGGAGTTTTCTGCTTTGTAATTTTGTGTGAAGTCTGATTTTATTGTTATTACCAGTTGTTTGTTTTTTTCCCCCATGGCAATTAATGATGTGTTTTGCCTGGATCCCAAGTGAGATTGTGCCAACTGGTAGCTTCCCTGAGCCAGGGGTGTGCTGTGCCTGCCTGTATCCCTGCTGCTGTGGACCCACACTTGTCCCTTGCCTTGTCCCTGTCACCTTGACTCATTCTCCTGCTACTGTGCCCTTGTACACTGCTCTTCATTGCTTCCCCATTCCCTGCTACTGTCTTTGTTTGCTTTTTTTTTTTTTAAATGGAATCATGGAATCAGTTTGGCTGGAAAAGACTTTTTATGTCATTGAGTCCAACTGGTAGCCCAGCACTGCAAAGGCCACCACTAAACCATGTCCCTCAGCACCACATCTACATATCCACCCTACCCCTCCCCTGACACAACTTGAGGCCATTTCCTCTTGTTCTACCACTTCTTCCTAGGGAGAAGAGACTGACTACCACCTGGTTACAACCTCTTTTTGGGTAGTTTGAGACAGGTAACAAGCAATGGAACAAGAGGAAATAGCCAGGGGAGGTTTATGTCCGATGTCAGGAAACGTTTATTCACTGAAAGGTTTGTCAGGCACTGAAACAGCCTGCCCAGGGCAGTGGTGGAGTCACCACTCCTGGAGGAATTTAAAAGCTGTTATAGATGTGGCACTGAGGGACATGGTTTAGTGGTGGCCTTGGCATTGCTAGGTTAACAGTTGGACTCAATAATCCTAAAGGTCTTTTACAACCAAAACAATTCTATGATTCCTGTAGTGGAAGCACAGAGCCATGGACCAGCTCCTGTCAGGCTGGCCCTGCACAAAGCCACAACAGGGATGGCAACCCAAGCCCGGGGGTTTGGGCATGCCCCAGCCCAGCACTGTGGCTTCTGTGCTGCAGAGTGGGTCAGCAGCCAGGAAGAGGGGCTAAAAAACAGCAACAAAAATGTCTTGGAAGGTCCAGGTGAAGACTTGGCCATGTCTAGCAGAGACTGTGAAAGAAAAACAAATCCCATGACCAATGAATAGAGCATTGGCCAGAAATTTACATCTCCTTTTTACCATCATTTCCTTCCCTCCAGCTGTAGTGAATGCGTTGGTCACCCTATTATCTTAAGTTTTAAAGCTTTGCCAGAGCATTTCATTTCAGTAAAAGATGCTTTTCTTTTTTTGTTTTATTGGAAGTGTCTTCTCTTGCTTAAAGCAGGCTTATGGAAGAAACACTGGCCACCACTTCTCACATGAGTCATTTCTGTTTCAAGGGTATTGCAGGTTAACTTAGGCTGATGGAGCCTGTAAGCAGTAGATGGGTCTCAGGATGCTTAAAGCTCTGCAGGGGAATGTTAGGCATTCATACTGACTTTCATAGGGCTGGTGAAAATTGATTTCTACAAAGCAGCCAGCCTCTCCTTTGTATTCAGTCCGGGAGGGGAAGAAAATATACGGCAGTATGGATTTTGGAAAGGAAGCCCGCTTTTCTGGGAGCAAAGTTAGAAGCAAAACCTATCTCCAAAGAAAGATAACATGGTGTAATTAAAAAAAGAACTTCCTGGCTTTATGAACTGTAGTAATCAATGTTCATATTTAATAATGTTACAACAGTCTTTATTTGTGTCACTCCTAGTTGCTCAGCAGATGAGACCTGGTGTTCCAGGGGCTGTTTACGTGGCAAGTTCCCCCAGGTAATGCCAGCTTAGTGGTACTGATGAAGGGAAGCTCAGGTCTCTTCTTTTAGGCAAAGCAGGGTTTGTCACACCCTCCCATCAGTGGTCCAGCAGAGCTGAAGGCACTTCCTTGGGGCCAAATTCCCTTCATCCTGGTTCTGCTGTCCAAGAGTTTTCCCCTGCAGAGCTGAGGTCTTGCAGCAGTCTGATTGAGAAGATATTTGGGCTCCATAGTATCCCATTGAGTAAGAAGAGATGCTGAAGTGTTTTAAA